TTTTTTTTTTTTTTTTTTTTATATATCAGCAAAATAAATTTTATTAAATACACTGTACATTATATACCAGTAACAGCCACATCTACATTCCAGCGGCTTAACCAGAAACAGACCAAAACAGGAACACATGTTACATCAACCTGTGTTTCTAAATGTTGACCCTTATGTCTTGTGCTGTTTATGAAACTGTTTTAAACATCTTTTATTCCTTCTAACAGCTAATGCACATTCAACCGGTTTTGATTACCAATCATAAAAGGAAAAGGCACACCCCTAAACCTTGTGCTTAAGCCATACAAACTTTACCCTGCACTGCATCTAGCAACGACTGCTCAAAATTCCTCATTTTAAAACACTATTCCTCCAATACCAAACATACCAAGATACTAGTGAAAAGATATAGGAACCCACCTCTCTCCCTATATTCCTCCCTAAACCAAATATAATAATTCTGTCGCCCCCCATATAGTGTTTGGCAACATCCCCTCCATACCCCACCACTCTAATACGTTCATCCAAACTAGTCATGATTCTCTATACTTACAAAATAAATGGTTGCTCTCCTCCATTTGCTCCTTTGTGGTAGGGCTGTGATGCACTAATAAATGTATATCAAAACCTAAAAAGAAAAGATGCATGCATGGCTATGGTTGGAAGGAAGTAAGGCACAGATAATCAAACCAAAATAACTTCACCAAGCTTGTTGACTTCTTCATTGAACCCTCTTGTCTGCTCTTCCATACCCTTCATTTGATGAATGAAAAACAAAGATCAAAAAATAAATCATGCATGGGAAATGACCGAAAATGTTTATTTGCATTTATTTGTAAATTGCTATATATTCTTTCATCCATCCATCTCCCGTTAGTTTTGAGAAATATCATCAAACCTTTGAACTTTCTTCAGTTCTTTTCTTGCACTTTTCACAATAGTTTTGGTAAACTTCCATTATTTGGTGCTCCTCACAAAAGGCCTTGAATACTTTTTCCTCTTGCAGAACGGTACTGAATTCACACTGCATTTACAATTAAAACAGAATAACTAATATTTTTTCCGTTTAATTTAGGCAGACTACAAATATAATTCAAGTAATTATATTCAATCACTAATATGAAATCATTTTCTTTTCCAAGAAATGAACTATTACATATAAACTCATCCATTACGACCCAAATAAACAGAAACTAAATGGTAGAACCTATAGAAAATCCTCAAAATAACATACAAGAAAACTGCCCGCATAACAAAACATAGAACAGCTGCTGGATGGAGACAAATTAAGTCTGCTGCAGCCCTGAAGAGTAATTAGAGGAAGGTGGAAACTCAGCTGTAAGCTGAAGGCTCAGTGGACGTCTAGGAGATTACGGATGGATTACTGCACCATAGTGCTAATCCACATCAATCCTCCCTTGAACTAAGGTAAACAAAGCCAAAAGACTTGAAAGAAAACCATATAAAGAAGAAATGGGGAGTTTAAAACTCCAGCACCATATATAGAACACCAACCACATATTTTGTATACACATACTCAGGTCATAAACTAAAATGATAGAAAAATCATACCAGCTACCTACATATATACCATCCCCAAACAAGTTCCCGCACCACTTCTTTTATGGTCATCATAAGCATCAAAGACCAAGTTAAGAGAAATTGAATGTAAGATGAATGACATGCATTTTAGGCTAGGAACAGAACATTCCATTCTTGTTCTTGTGATTGAATGTAATTAAGATGAGTGACACCCATGCATAAATTTATATGCAGCTACATGTAGTCTTTTGTTAAACCTTATGTATATTAATATTTGATGCTGAAACTTAGCTATTTCAGTCATGTACAAGCTTAACCATACTTTGTTCTCTCTCTCTCTCTCTCTATTTTTTTTTTTTTAAATGAGAAATAGAGATGTCTATTTATAGAAAAAGAGATTACGTATGAAAACCCTATATGAAGGCACCTAAAGTCATATTAAAGTTATAACCCATAGCTCTAAATATAAAACCCTATATGAAGGCACCTAAAGTCATATTAAAGTTATAACCCATAGCTCTAAATATAGATGAAAACTATGCCCATAACGAATAAAGACAATTAAATGCAAAGAGCCACATTACCTAGAGATTACTTGGCAACCACTATAGTGACGTGCAGTGCTACAAAGGAAGAAAAAAAGTTATTATGCGCATGTCATGTTGCTAAACTTTCTCAACTGCCACATGAAGCTTCAGGGAGAGCAAGGATTACAGCAATTAACAGTCCCCAATCCACTAACTGTCAAAGTCCAAAGAAAGCTATCCTTTGGGAGAATCATGACCTCCTTCCCAACAAACTAAAGCTACTCCTGAATTGTCTACTAGTACTTTTGTAGCTCTCTTTGTATCCAAGCTGTCCATCAAGCTCTTTCTTTTTACCTCTTGCTCCCTTCGTCTTACTTGATAAAATTTCCAAGTCTCTAGGCATTCTTTTCCCTTTACCATGCAAAGAATGGTTTTCTCTTTTAAGAACAAATTATATACGTATATTTCTATCTATATGTGATTCCAAACTCATGCTTTAGCTAAACTAATGTACCAATTTTGCTATATACAAGAGCTACCCTCTAGTGTTAACCAAGTCTTTGCAGGGTCAATTTAAAATCTTCATCCTTACCTAAATCCATTTTAAATGAATGCATATATGCTAAGGTTTTGTTAGTCACAACTCATAAAGAATACTATATAATTAAGGGTGGGATATGACACCTTTTAGCCAAAACTAACATCACAAAACATGCCTTTCTCCAACAGACCGATAATAATTCATCAAATAATAGAGAATTTATTTCCCTCATCAATTTCCACAATCTTCACACAGTTAACTTAAAATGCATTCAAATTCCTGTAAGAGTTACTGTAATTGATAGAGAGAAAACATTCAAAGCAATTCTCTTAATTAAGCAGATAAGTATGTTCAAATATCTTCTCCTAATATGCTCGCCATAAGTACTCTCTATCCATTGAAGACTTATATACAAAGAACTGGACATTAATAAATTCTCCCAATCAAAACAATAACACAGTAAAAAGAGTATCTCCAAAAAATTTTATAAGAGAGAATTAAGGTTCAACTCAATTAAATTCTTCCCCACACATATTGGACGTTAATTCTTATTCACTACCCTACAAAACATATGAAAACAACAGGACATTAATTTATTTACCTTGTGAATTACCTGACTTTCTCTGCTCTTTTTATTTTTCTCTTCCTTCTTTTTCATCTTTTCTTCTTCAGACAGTGGCGGACGCCCTGGTCCTCCTCTGTTTCCTGCTTCATCGGCTCCAGTTATTTTCTTCTTTTCTTTGCCTGCCATTCTTCCTTGCGGCAGAGACAAAATAAGGAAATTACTAACTAGGGTTAGCTGATTTCATTAAACAAGTAATACTTAAGCAGATCCAAAGCCTTCTTTTGCCGATAATAGAAAATTAGGAAGAATTCAATATTCAACCAACAAACTAACCAACAAAACAAGACAGTAGAAAATTGAAGAATAATTGAAGAAATGAAATGACAGGGAACATGATGAAAACAACAAATTAAGCATGTGTATATTCAAATAATGATGATGAAAAGATTGATAGCTTACACACCTGAATCAAAGATGGATAGATTCACTCCGTGGAGCAGGACTTAACCAAAGTCCACCTACAGGATAGGCGCTATCGATCTGAAAGAGAAGATTGTCATTGAATTGCTTGATGAATTTATAGCAGAGAAGCGCCATTGGAGAGTAATTTTTGGTCCGAGACAATGTAAAGATCAGCTTTTTGTCTCGAGCTTAAATACCGTCCCACTAACAATTTTATTTTATTTTTATTTTTTGAACAAACCAGAAAACATAGCACTAATAATTGAAGTAAGTTGA